TTATAATTAGTATGTTTTGTTTATAAAAATTATTTTTATTTACTAGCTAATTTTTTTTTTTTAAGGGCATGTTATAGTAGGCAACACTGTTACAACACTGTCATTATACATATATTGTACAGGTGATTACACGGGTTAAGTGGTTAATACTAAATAAAATGTAATGTTCTTAATAATCAAAAACAACCAGTCCTTTACATCTAATTGAATCTTATAAAATTTCATAATACATACTCTTCATTTAAAAATAGATTGCTATCGAAACGACGACATTCGTCGGTCAAGAAGTGAGTGTGATCAATTTGCTCGTCACCGGCCGGATTTTCCGAAGATGATGGATTCTCGGTAGGACCAGAGTATGCTAAAATATAAAATTAATTTTACAAATGAATATGTATTGTTTATTTACTGAAAAAATTAGCGTTCAGCGGTTTGATTTAACATTTATTTTTTAAATGGTAAATTTTGATATTTTTAATGAAATAATAATAATAATTGTATTGCACTAGTGCAGTAAATTCTTACGATTGTAAAATAATTGAACAAGTTTTCATTTATTTTTAAATATTGTTTTCTAGTTTTTCAAATGAAAAAATAACAATAACTTAATTGCGTGTTTGCAGTACGGTTTAATAATAATTGTGAAATCGTTTACCATTTTTAGCAATATATGTTAATATAAAATTAAGGACAGAGACTACGAACTAACCTTCCGTTAAACTTGTTAAAAATATTAAATTAACCTCCACCAGAGCTTTTTAGCGCTTAACTTAGACATTATAACTAGTCAGCAAGGAGGTTTTGTGAAAGGATTAGTAAATCTTACTAGGCCATCTTTTATTGAGAAAATAGCAAATACCGTAGATAATTACCATGGTCGGGTTTAGAATATATCGCTAAAGATTATATGCTTCGATTATAAGAAGGCAATTATTTATGTAGATGCAATTGACACGATTAGCATAATAAAATAAATAAACACAATCGTATTATACGTGTTAAACTATCTATGAATACTATACGAAACGCTTAAAAAATAATACACCGTCCATAGGTATTGAAATCTAACGAGAAAATATTGTTTTGATAAAATAGAGCACAATTTTTTAGCATACGTGATAGTGTTTTTCATAGAAAGAAATATGTACACAACTGGTGTGCGTACTTGGTGCGAGACCCTGGTGAATTTGATCATGCAGTAGCAAACTGTATAGGCAAGGTTTATTATTGTATTTCAAATTCATGTAACCATATTGTCGTATAAAAAACGGGACTATCTGTTTTCAGTCAAAAACACGGGGCCAAAAAAGGTAAACTATGATTTTTTTTTTTCAGAAAAAAATTTATCGAGAAAAAATAATTCTATCCGAAACTTCTTTGAATACAAGAACTGTTTCCTGTTTACCAAATAGATTAATAAAACTGAAATGATAAAACTGAAATTAAGACATTACATGACAAAATACATCAGCTAGAATCTGCCACACAATCAAATAATTCCACCGTAGATTTAATTAGAGAAACCCAGGACTGTATGCGGAGAGCTCATAATGTTATTGCTTACAATATACCCGAGGAATCAACTGAAGACTCGATTTCTATCCTTAGAACTGCGAAGACTATTTGTAAAGCTAAGCGCTTAGTTAGCAAACAAGTAGAAAAAGGTCGCCCATTACTCTTAGAACTCAATAGTATAAATGATGTTTAAAATCCGTAAATGCCTAATATCAGGTATTATTACCACTCCTCACGATAACATTGAACAACTGTTTGTATCTGTTACCAGGAGTGGGAAACATAAGTATATTCTCGCAACTTGCTATATTCCGCCGGCTAGCTCGGTCAGTGTTTATTCTGCCCATGCCGAGTCCGTTGAATATATTTTATCGAACGCTAGTGCTAATACGACTATTATTTTGGTAGCCGATTACAATCTACCAGGTGTCAAATTTTATAATGACGGAGTTAGACTAATATATAGTGGTATAAGGACAAGTAGTTCTGACGTGATTTTTGACAGCTTTTCTTCCCTAAATATGTATCAACATTATTCAGTACTTAATTTTAATGGTATATGCCTAGATCTACTGTTTTCAAACTCTAGTTCAGTTTTGATAAATCAAGCTCCAGATGTCTTAGTGCCTCTTGATCCTCATCATCCAGCACTTTCAATAGTCTGTAATAACAATACTCCAGTTCAACTTGATTGGCAGCCTTTTTGGTTCTATAATTTCAAATTAGGGGACTATATAGATATGTCTTATTCACTAGCTATGGCAGATTGGTCGCCTTTAAATTGTTGTGAAAATGTGAACGACGCTTTAGATATTTTTTATAGTTTGATTCTACAAAACATTGATATCTCTGTTCCCAAAGTATTTCCATATAAGTCATCTTATCCAAGTTGATTCTCCAAGGAATTTCGAAGTTTAATACATAAAAAAATAAAATACATAAAAAATTTAAACGCACAGGCTCTCAAGTAATTTATAATGAATTTTCGGACACTAGAGCTAAGTGTAAACTTTTATCTAAGCAATGCTATTCTAATTATTTAAATGCTGTTCAAAAAAGTCTTATTCATGATCCCAAGTACTTTTGGAAGTTTGTCAAAGATAAAAAGAAAAACGACTCACTACCAAATAGTATGGAACTAAATGGCAAATGGTCTGAAGATATAAATGATATAACTGAAATATTTAGTGATTTTTTCCCTTCTAATTATGTCGCTTTGGATAATCCAACTTTATTTAACTCCTATGAAGATTTTCATTTCAACATTTTGTCCTCTTATTCTTTTACCATTGCTGAGATATTTGATGCGTTAACAAAGCTTAACTTAATCACTAAATATGGACCAGATCTCGTTCCTGATATAGTTTATAATGCATGTTGATATTCACTTTCTCGTCCAATACACTTCCTCTTCAACTTATCATTGTCCCCTGGGATCTTTCCTAGTAGATGGAAGTCAAGTTATATCTCTCCTGTTTTTAAATCAGGGAATAACTCAAATATACTTAACTATCGTCCAATATCTAAATTAAACGCTTTGCCTAAGCTGTTTGAGCAACTAGTAGAAAATAAATTATCTGTAGTTTTTAAAAATATATTAGTTAGCTCTCAACATGGTTTTCGAACTTCCAAATCAACTGTCACTAATTTGCTTGTCTTTTATTCTGATATTATTTCTGCTGTTGCCAGAGGTAGTCGAGTTGATGCTGTGTATACTGATTTAAAAAAGGCATTTGACTCCGTAGATCACTCCATCCTAGTGCATAAATTAAAAATGTATGGTATGGGGGAACCCATGCTATCATGGTTTGAGTCTTATCTTACTGGTAGACAACAACAAGTTAAAATAAAAAATATTATTTCATCTAGTCGTAAAGTCACTTCTGGGGTTCCGTAAGATGGGCATTTGTCACCTTTATTGTTTATAATATTTATGAATGACCTTGTTAGTATTTTCAAACATTCACGATGTCTGCTGTTCGCTGATGACGTAAAAATATTCATGCATATTGAATCCATAAATGACTGCTTCAATCTTCAAAAAGATTTGCACAGATTCCATGAGTGGTGTGTTTCTAATAGTCTTAGTCTTATTGTAAGTAAATGTTTCCAAATAACATTCAATCGTAGCCGATGTATTGAATATTTTTCTTATAGTATAGATGGATCTAACTTAGTTAAAGTTTCGTATATAAAAGATCTCGGGGTTACTCTTTCTTCTGATCTTTTTTTCAAAGAACACATAACTGTAGTGTATAATAAAGCTTTAAGAACTTTTGGGTTCCTTAAACGTAATTGTTGGGAGTTGTCAGACCCAGTCTGCCTTAAAGTACTATATTGTGCTATTGTGCGGTCTTTAGTAGAATACGGCTCTGTCATTTGGTCTCCATATCAATCAGGGTTATCTGACAAAATTGAAAGCCTCCAACGACGCTTTTTAAGAATGATAGCATATAAAATAGGCAAAGTCGCGACAGATCTAAAAGTTATTGAATCTAATATTAGACTGACTACTTTAGCTCATCGTTGATTTATTGCAGATGTTTGTTGGATTTATGGTCTAATGAATAATACTATAGACTGTCCTGAAATATTAAATATTGTTTCTCTTAATGCTCCTTCCTTTTCCTTACGCTCAAACCAACTATTTCAAACAGAACTGTTATTATTATTCTCCGGTAAATCGCATGTTAATGGCTTCTAATAAAGCAATACTTGATTACAACTTAAATTTGTTTCTTCTTCTTCTTCTTCGGGCAAACGGCCGCTAGGGCCATTCCGTCAAACACCCCTCCTTAGTCCGAGGCTTCGTGTTTGAGTCCTGAACGTTAGTTTTTTTTACAAGGCAGGGTCGTTAGCCCTGCGATTAACCCCCAATTTGGAGGGCCAGTATACTCCAACCAATTAAGGTCAGAGTAGAGAGAACTGGACCAGCTAATTAAAGCCAGTCCAGTTCATAGCTCGGGGCCCCGGGTTCGCCATAGCCGTCACGCTAGATTGGCGTTCCCCTGAGGGAATTTTACTCTATTGCCCCATGGGCGTAAACTATTTTTTATATTTAAATAAATAAATAAAAATAAATATGTACGATATGAAGTAGCGTTCAGTCAATTGGCAAGTAGCGTTCATTCAATTGGTCAATTTACATTTTTTTAATATTGTATTCTAGTTTCTTTTAAATTAAATAACAGTTTTGGATTTATGGCGCATTAAGATAAAATAATTATACAAATATTTTAATGTTTTTAGCGTTTAATATAAAATTAAAGACAGAGCCTGAACTAACCTTACAATGTACATGTTGAAAAATATCAAATTAGCTTCAACTAGAGCTTTCTACAGAGTGATGTATTGAAATGTATGAAATTGTATGAGTTTTACTACGTACCTGGAATTGACCTTAAAATGATGAAAGCTAAAAAATAACTAAACGACATCGTGCTATACTTGATAGTAAATAATTTTTTAAATTCTCTATAAAACACCTAAAAACCAACCTTTGTTCAAAGTTATTAAAGACTGATTGCAATATAAAAATTTTTGTTAATAACGAACCATCTTTTTTCATACTCGATAGCGTTTATAAACATGTAATTGTGCTCATATTCTGTGTAAATACAAAAACATGTTATTGTTGTAAGTATTGCCAAATAATACACAAAGATTCGAAAATGACGTAAAACATATACACCACGCTTACGCTCCACTGTTGATACTGAATTAAGACCAAACGTACCGACATAACTTGGCAATAAATGTAGGACAGCAAGATTACAATTTATCCTATTAATTTAAGTAATATATTTAATTATTATTAAATACCTGGAGTTGACCATAAAAAAATAATAAAATTTTAAAATTACATCATTCTAGTGTTGTTTTATTATTGAAATATGTTGGGCGCTCTATAACCTAATCTTGTCTTTATATTTTTATAACCAATGTGACTATTTAGTTTTATTATGTGAGCTTACAATCGTTTTCCATACTTGATAATGTTAATAAACGATAAATTGTGTATACAATTGGTGCACGGTTTTTTTGTTTAAGTACATTAACACGACGTAATTGTTGCACCTCTATTGACTAATATTGCCCAAAAGATTTAAAAACTATTACGATTTAATTACGATTTTTGTATAGGTACAAAAACATGTTATTTTTCTTATATTTTATGTATATTTAAAAAAAAACAGAGCAATAATTTGGAGTTAAAGGAACATCGCCCCTTTAGAGATATTTTATAACCCTCATATATCACATGACAGTAAAAATAATAAATTTAAAAAAATATTAAACACAACTGCAATAATTTGGAAGCACAATAGCACAGACACAAATTGTACAAACATGGTTGAACTAAAAAGTAATTTAAACAATTATTACTTAACGCAATATTTTATGAATCACGCGGCACCTACCATAACCAGTGGCATGGTAAAGAATAAAAAAGGAGAACAAAAATATTTTATCAGAATTTTTAACTAATCTTTCAATGAGTTTATGGCAAAAGTGATAAATTACAAGTTGAAAAATTGTTATGGAATACAAAACGTGATACTATGTACCTGATGTGGATGTTAAAACTATATAGACTAAAAAATAAATAATCATATTTGTATTCTTCTTGTTAATGTGCTGTCGAATTCTTGAATACTTTGTAAAGCAAAATAAAAAAAATCAATAGATATTAAGAAACGATTCGAAAATGTTTTTTTTATTTTAATACTGCACCACATTTGCCTGTACTTGATAGAATAAAACGAATAGTTGTGTTAACATATGGTCTACGATTTTTGAGAAGGTACAAAAACATGTTATTGTTGTATAATGTTAAAAATTAAACACAGATTTGCATCTGTTTTTTTTTTTTGTATATTTATATGACTATGTTTTGAAAAACGGTATTTTAGCGATATTTTAAAGTTAAAGTAATATAGCCCACAGATTTGTTTACCTATTTTCTAAGCGTTACAAACAGTCGCATGTTTAAGTATAAAGGTCGTATTGATTCCAACAATGTTTAACTATGCGTGGATGAATCCATAAACGTTGAATTGAACGAAAATTATAATAATTTGAATGATCTATAACACGTATCCAGTTATGTTGATCCATTGAAACTTAAATATAAATATCTAAAGTAACAAATAATTTATGTAACTTGTAGATTAGGAACTGAGTTGTCGAATAATAATAATACAAGTTCTAAACAAGTTCTTAATAAACAATGAGAATAGACAATAATTTTTAAATCATTGAGAATTTCTTGTATTGCATCCTATAATTGAACATAGAATGATAAAGGCTAAAAAATAGATTGTTATAGTGGGACAATATCTGTTAATATAATATGTAATTTTCAAGACTTTTAAAGCACTGTAAAGAAAACCTTGTCCAGAGATATTGAAAACCTATTTAAATATGTAATTTTATTTATTAAACGTACAATATTTCTCTACACTTTTTAGAATACAAAGCAATTTCTCACATTAACGCATCTCTTGTAAGCGGTGCCATCAAGGGTTTAAAATGCATTAAGGTGTCTTCTACCTCAGGAATGGTAGACTTGTCCAAAGCGTTCGACAACGACCACCATAATTATTATATTAGTCGGACTTTGGATTTATTGCCATTGACGAAGAACCTACGAAAATTGCTTTGCACTTCAGTTTTGGAAATATTATTAACTTTGAGGTGACCACTGTTCATATTGCTAAACGCATTCCTAAAAGTTCCTTTCTTTTACCCATATTTTTCAACATATGATAAGATTTTGTCCTTCAGCAAATTTCAGATTTTGAAGTGTCCAATACACATGGGTTTCAGCTGCATCGAGATTTCGATAACGTCACCATTCTGAGGTTCGTTTTTGATACTGCGCTAGTTGTAAGGACCTAATAAGTGCTGCTATACCAGTCGAAACTGCCAAAGATCTTTTCTCTTCGGTAAGAATTAATAAAGATTGCTCAATGATAATTTAATTCCAGCAGTCTGCTTCAGCCACCTTTTAATTAAATAACTTGGTGTTAATTTCAATCATGAAATTTTAATTGACGGTAAACACATTCTATTACAACTTGAGTTTATCATATATTATAATATGAAATTATTTATGTTTGAATCTATATCAAACTCCAATATTATTATGAATACTACGCACTTGCATATTGATCGGTAAACTGTGTCTCAAGACAACTCAATCGTTTGAGAAGTCCACTTTATTGTTTTTCTATTAATAAAATTGTTTATATTAAAGACAACAATTTCTGTTTTTAGGAGAATAACAAAACAGTTGATCAGATACCAGAAATATTGGCTCGGTGTCATGTCGTTTTACCGAATTTTAAAAATAAGCATATTCTTGTTCCTTGTGGACTTATCAAGATCGAAAGGTATTAACATCTATTTTATTATATATAATACTGTTCTATTATTTGTATGTAATTACCTAAATATTTGTTTTTTGTTTTATGATTGTAAGTGAATTTTAGAGTCTAACATTATGTAGTTATACAATAAATTTTAAAAATAATCAAAACCTTCCAATCAGTTTATTGTGTATAATCATGTATTGTCGTTGTTAATCCTTGCTGTATTTGGGGAAATGTTGTATAATTTTTCATCAATTATAATACAAAAACCGAAAATAAATATAAAAATATTCATAAAATTGAATGTCCGACTTACCGGTTAAGAGTATGAAATAATGTGCATGTTGCTATTTATTTTTTACTGAGAGTAAGGAATAGTAAGAAAGCAAAATTAAACTCATAGATGATTTTGGCTAACAATTTGAGTGTGTGGTTAAAAAAAATAATTTCTAGTCGATCTAATGGTTTTAACATGAAAATACTTGAGCAACAAACCGCATACGTATATAAAGATATTAATTCTTCCCGGTGCCACTGTTATGTTAGAAATGTGTCGTAGTTAAGAAGCTTTGTATAACACTGTAGACAAATATAAAACTACCAGCTATCTGCTATCCTTACTATAAAATATATATAAAATATAATAAAATATATATCCGAACTATATAATTATATGCAGGGTTATTCATTTAACGCAATGCACTCAATATCTCCTTAACTGTTGTTCTCCTAAATATAATTTTGTAGATTTAATTTGTGTGCTTATGTTTTGTCAACTAAATGGATTAGCTGTACACTGTAAACAAATATTCTCAATTTTATCTGGTATTTTTCACGACTTTAAGAACTCTACCGACTTTTGAAAAAAACTCATCCGAATTATTTTAAATAAACATATTTATCATACATTTTGTATTATAAATATGCCAATAAATAAAGATGTGCTGTTCTTATAGCTTCAAAGGTTGATAATGTTTAGAGTACAATATTAAGCTGTAGTAATAGGATATACTGTAATTTATAGTTATCGTTTTTTATAAGTTTTATGATATAATATTGTGTGTTCACTCGCGGTTATTGGTGAATTTATTTACAATTAATAAACAGTTTAATATACTTGTGTACGGTTATGAAATGTTAGTACATTACTTGCGTAATAAACTGTGTTTAAATAATGTATAAAACAAAAATCGTTTTGGAGTATAAAAAATATTCTGTGGCCTATTTCGTTTTGCTCTAAAACTGCGCCTAACTCTTAATGTACGTGTTTAATCATATTATAATATAATATTAATATGTAGTAGAATACTCTGCCGCTCATGATTCATAGTAAAAAAGCTGTTTAGTAAAAACAAATAATTAATATAAACAAGTAGACTAGCGTCATTTTCATAAATTTGTTTAATATATTTTACCATATGCGAACTAGATTATTCTTTTATGATTAATCTTTAAAGTATAGAAAAAGTTGGTGCAGTATTTAAAAAAAAACATACGCTCAATCGGCTCTCAATATCTTTTGACAATAATTTTTTTAAAGTGCTTAAGAATCTGACAACATATTAGATTACGAAAATGTACAAGTCTCCTTTAGCTTTTATCGTCTTAACGTTTACTTCAGGTACATAATAAGTTTTGTATTTCATAATCATTTTTCATCTAGTAATTTAATTATTTTGCATATGCTCATTGGAGGCGTCTGTTCGTTTCTCACATCTGTTACACCATGTTTGTAATTAGTCCAGTATTAAAACATTTACAGTGAATACAGATAAAAAAAAGCCCACATCACAGTAAAGCCACTCTTCATCGAAGCTAAAATATTTTTCTGGGTTTTTATGTAAAATGCTTCAAAAGTGGTAAAATTATATGTTTTTGTGGTCGGTGATTACGAATTTATTATTAGTTTTCAATTTCACTCAGCCAAAAAAAACAAAAATTAAATTTGTGTTAGCTAAAAGGCAAAAGTGGTATTTGAGCACAAATCTTAATAGTATCATTTTGCATAGATATACATAAAATTGTTTTAACTTTTTTAAGATTTTAAGTGTTTTTTTTTTTAAATATACGCAAACTGCATAAACACAGTTTTCCGGCAATAAAAAAAAAAAGTATTGCTGAATTCGTTTTCCGTTTAATATGTTATGAATACATATGAGTTCTAACTACTGACCAATTCTCATTTTATAGGTCCTAAAATTACGACTAAAAAACTAAAAAAACCTTGAACCCCACCTAAGGAGGTGGGAAATGGGTTTAATTTAAATTTGATACAAATGACGTGCGCGGGCATACGAAACAAATATTTCTTATAAATTTCAACTCGATCCGACTATTTTTCTTGAAACTATAGCCAGTAAAAGTTCTAACTTAAGAACTCGTACGGTTTTTTTGTTTTTTCAAATATCGACTCTACAGAAGTAAACTTTTTCCACTTTTACCCCCCCCCCCCCACCTCAAAGTACTAACTAGATGAAATGAATGATTTATAAAGTTGCTACTTGAAGGAATGGGTTCATTATTAAAAGAGTTACATTGTATACAGATAAAAAAAAACACATATCAGAGTAAAACCAACTCTGCATCGAAGCTAAAATTTATATATAGTTCTATGTCAGCATTACATTAAATGCTATTTAAATTTATAATGCATTACAAAACTCAAAGAAACTACTGATAATGCGGTCAAATGGATAATATTTTATTTATTTATATATTTTGTTTTGTGCGTAAGTAACTAATAATAGTAATAATTTAATTGAATATATATATTTATTAAGGAATAAAATGAATAGTAACCTATAACAATAATATGTAAAAGAACCCATTAGTCCATATAGAAGTTGGCCTACGGGCGAATGGTGGCACTATTTCCGATTTAATAGCCACGGTATCGACTTCCACGGTTTTTTGATGATGAAACATAGCGATACTTGAGCGGGTGCCTCCAAATATTTTAAATTAAAAGTCTACAAAAAAAAAAGTTTTTTAATAATGTCTAAAAAACATTCTTAGATCAATTATTTTACTTTGTCAGGATATGAAGTATGAACGCCAGTAACACGTATATACACTACCAGCCTTTCTCCAAATTGCAACAACTGCCACGATTGGCACGATTTCTTGGATTTATCTATAATCAAGTACCAATCTTCATGATTGACTGAAACATGAACAGTGTAACCGTAGATACAGTAGCTAAGGTGGTCCCAAATCAGCATCCTATAAATAATGACAATACTAATATAATCTTAATCTTATTGCCACAGTTGACCTAAAATTATTTTTAAATATATTTCAGGCACAAAAAATATTATAATTAAAAATAGAAATCAAAGTAAAAAGTATATATTCTGCAAACGATTACCTCATTGAACTTAGCAAATACGGTTGGGCGAGTTGAACCTCTATATATTCCCATCCCAGATGGTGATATGTATATCCACGATCAAAAAGTAAGTTTTTATAGTCATCATACAAAATGTTGTTTTGAATCTTATCGGGTGATGTCTCCATTTCGTAGATAGTCCAATGTGGATGTCCTTTGGTTACAGTGGCATTCATAGATGATAAAGCAACATTGTAATTTGGAGCTAATAGATTAAAATCAGTTCAATAAACAAATAAGTTCTTTTTATCTTATTTAAAGAATCAGTTAATTTCATGGAATCCATACCTATTAATCCGTTTTTGATTTCAACCAAGTGCATTTTATCCGTATTGTACATGACTTTTAAAATGTTAAAAGTACACGTCTTATTACGAGAATTTTTGGTGCCAACAATACGGATGTATCTCACATATATTCGGTTAATCCACAAGCGTTGAATTGACCGACAATCGTAATTTGAATGATCAATCACACGAAACCAACTGTATTTAGCTATTGATACTTCAATATAATAGGAATAAGTGCTGAAATATAAAAGAATATAAACAAATGAATACCTGTGTAATGTTTTTATCTATAAAGATGTCAAAAATTAAATAATAAATTTAAATAGTTGTTGTGCAAAATAGATTAAAAAAATTAATATAAGTCGGTGCAATTACTTTTTTTTTTATTCATGAATAAATTAAATTATTAACTATTAAAATAAACCATGAAAAAAATTAATTTTAACTTTATTGGAATTCAAACCATATTATACTATATCTTTGATTAGAATATTATTAAATAAAAACACACCAATCACGTAATTCCATTTCGATATAGTTTATATTCACTGGATGATCCAGCACGATCATGGTACCGCCGTCAATTTGAGAAACCTCTATCAAATTTTCTTGAGCGAAATTCACATTTGGTTCTAAAGAATAACGTAGTTGTTACTAACAAAGTTTGTTTAACATATTATATTGCCACTGAACATACTTAATCGTCCTCGATCATTTAATGTTTGTGTGAGGGACTTCTTTATGACATCAAACATTTTTCTATCCGAACGAACCAGCTTAGATCCCCTAACTTCAGACAGTTCTTTTTCATCCATAAGCTGATATCTGATGGCCGATAGAATGTTGGTTTTTTCGTTAGGACCCAGTTTGTCTTGGTTGTCTTTAATCCACTGACTAACCGCACGGAATATATCCAATTCTTTAACATCCGCCGTGTTACGATTGAGAATTAGAATTAATGCTTCCTAAAAATAATATTATTGTCACAACTATTTAGCTAACAAGAGCAATACTGATTTTTTACTATAAAATATAATTACGGCCGACAAAAAGCTAGACTCTTTAGATTGCAATATGTCCAAAGGTTGTGTGGCAATAAAATTGATTGATGCGTCTTCGAGTTCTTTGAGTTGATAGTAAGAAGCCACAGCAAACAACGAACATACATTGTCTACATCGATGTTATTACACACGTACTCGGACAGTGAAAATTGTAAGTTTGTAAAACACCATAGATTCGAGAGAATTACTAACTCAAAAATGACGTTACTCTAATACATAAAAATACATAATATATATATATATTCGACAAATCCTTTTTTATAAAATTTATTTATATTCTAAATATATACATTACAAGTTACCTCTAGAACACTTAACTCCATTTTACCGAAATAAATATATTTAAGAAGTTCTTTGATTGATGTTGGTGATCCTTCTTCTATTGGCACCTCCTTTTTATGAGTTTCCTCAAGTCCACCATACAGTAATCCTCTAAAAAAGGTATCCAATATTATCATAAAAAAATGCATCATATGTGCTACAACTAGTAAGGCACATTGTATGGGCTACTCAATTTACTTTGGTTTTGTTTGATTATGTTAGATTATAATGAACAGTTATGTAACAAGTCATACAATCAGTTTGCATAATTTCTAAATCACTTGTTTACTTGTTTTACAAAAATATAATTATGTTGTCATAAATGAGGAGTGAAATTCAAGATGCAGCCGAAGAGACGATAGGTAGAGAACATCGATTAAAGAAACCGTGGTTCAATAAAATCTGTAAAGAAGCCATACAGAGGAGAAAGATCGCAAGAGCAATATGGTATCCCACTAAAATTAGTCAATCTCATAACGGCAAGCGTCATGAATACGGAAATAAAAGTACAGGTAGGAAACTCCTTATCAATAGCAGCCCAAGTCAGAACAGGATTAAGACAAGGCAGGACAATATGGGCAATTTTATTTATTTTAGCACTGGAAAAAGTGGTTCAAAGCACTTGCTTCGAACAAAAAGGTGTACAAATAGGTGAGACAAAGTTTGGACTACTGGCGTACGTGGATGATTTAGTGCTATTAGTAGATAATAAAGAAGAGCTCATTGAACAAACTCAAGAAACACTTGAGAAAGCAAAAAGAGTTGGGTTAGAAATAAACGTGGAAAAAACATATTACATGATAGCTCAGAGGACGATTTTGCCGGAGGATAAACACTCATCTTGAAGTAGGGGCATATAAATGTAACAGAGTTCAGATGTTCAAGTACTTAGGTACACTTATAACTCAGAGTAGTGAAATACAAGAGGAGATAATAACAAGAATACAGGCGGGCAATAGAAGCTATTTTGTGTTGAACAAGCTGTATTAGTCAAGAATGTTGGCTAAGAGCCTAAAGGTACAGCTGTATAGAACTCTTATTCGGCCAGTGGTGACGTATTAATGCGAAACTTGGACGCTTCATAAGATACAGCAGAATAACCTCTTAGTACATAAACAAACAGTTTTGAGGTCGATTTTTGGCACTTGCACAGATAGGAATACAGGAGAATGGAGAATTAGACATAATGTGGAGATCAGGGAGCTATACCAGAAACCAAACATAGTCGACGATATAACAAAGAGGCGGCTCTTTTAAGCCTGCCACGCATGGCCAAAAAAAAGCGCTCTTATACACAGAGTACTATGTGGCTCTACAAAAGGTGTAAGACCACTTGCTAGACCAAGGTTGAGGTGGAAAGACCACGTGTCAAAAGATGTGGAGCGGGTTGAACCGGATGCTGATTGGCAAGTCCTAGCACAAGATAGAGGGAAATGGCATGGAATATGTTATTTTTGTCAGTTTGGTTTTAAAATCCATCAACTACGATTAAAAGAAAACAATTATTAAATATGTATAAGTGGTAATGGTTCATAGTATCCATTTATATCAAGCAAGTAAACTAACAATTATAGATTACAAAACATTAAAAAATCTTAAGGCAATCGATGTTGCTGTTTTTTCAAAAACATCTAGGTTGGTTGATTAGAAAATTAGTGAGCCTAACCCAACCGTAATAATTAAAATATATGCTTTTCTAAAAAATAGTAAAAAAGGAAAAAAAAATTTACTATTAGAACAATTTACCAATCAATAAAAAAAGAGAATAATATGCTTAAAGATATTATTACCTGAAATAATCACTGCGTGAGGCTAACACAGCACGATGGGCGGGGAATCGTTCATTTTCTAAAACTAAAACAACATCCGAAAACCTAAAATAAATATTAAAATATTTTAGAAATATACTTAGAAATACTACTAATGAATAATAATTTATGTATAACATTAAATCTTTAAAAATAATACAGAGAAATTCCAAAAAAAATTTAGTTATAAACTGCTTGTGATCTTTATATATTTAATACTACGTTTTGATAAATTATATACATTTTGTATTCATATTTAAGGAAGTTTTTCAGAGATAGCTAAATAAGTATAGTTGATGTTGATGTTAATATTCATATTTGTACATAGCAAGATCTTAATAATTGTAAAAATAAATAGTTTTAAGCTGATACTTCAATAAAATTATTGACAATAATAACAATCTTACACGCTTTTACTACAACATAAATTAAAATATCCTGCTTTAAGGATATAATGATATAAATTGAATGGCGTTAAGCAGAAAGCAACCAACCCAAAAAAATCGAGATTTTAGTTTAACTAGAGTAGTTTAATATAAACGCTACGTTTGTATGTCAAAATCAGATTCGTCTTGGTTTTGAAGTAAGTTAATTAATCTATTAACGGTAATGTTATGGAGGGTTAGCTGGACACTGATAAATCTATCATTAATAAACAATTAGTGACGAAATTTAAGTCTATACATACTAAAGTAATTCCTTTTATTGATAATTGTAACTTAAATGTTGTTATAAGTTTTTAATTTGTCTATAGTTTAACTTGAATGTACTACAATTTTAGCTCTACTAACATGTGATAATTAAAATAAACTTAGATAATTTAATTGTGTTAACGGTACTGATAAAAATATTAAAAATAAGTTTAGTGATATTGTTGAAGCCCTAGGCAGCCTTCCTATATAATGTCATATACACTTTGATCACTAGCTGTAGATTAAAGATAGTTAATCAAAATTTAAAAAGAAACTTCTAATGATTTTTAAAAAGTGCATGTTATAGAAGGTTTTATGATATAAAGCTTTAAACTGAAAATGGTATAGGAGAAAGTATAGAAAACATAGTATCATTCACATTGAAATATAATGAAGACTTTAGATAAGAATAAATTGCAGTAAGAAAACTAGTTATTTAAATTCTCCCATAGTTCTTAAACAGTATGAGGCAGTAAATAGATATGGTAGGAAATAGTGAAGTCTAAGATATATTTTTGTTAATGTTGATCATTTGTATGAATTGTGATAATTAAAATAAACATAGATAATTTAATTGTGTTAACGATACTGATAAAAATATTAAAAATAAGTTTAGTGATATTGTTGAAGCCCTAGGCAGCCTTCCTATATAATCTCATATACACATTGATCACTAGCTGTAGATTAAAGATAGTTAATCAAAATTTAAAAAGAAACTTCTAATGATTTTTAAAAAGTGCATGTTTTAGAAAGTTTTATGATATAAAGCTTAAAACTGAAAATGGTATAGGAGAAAATATAGAAAACATAGTATCATTTACATTGAAATATAATGAAGACTTTAGATAAGAATAAATTGCAGTAAGAAAACTAGTTATTTAAATTCTCCCCTAGTTCTTAAACAGTTAGAGGCAGTAAACAGTTATGGTAGGAAATAGTAAAATTTAAGATATATTTATGTTAATTGTTCATCATTTGTATGTCTGTATTATTTATTTTTATCGTGTTTTGTCCCTAATAGTTTTTGACATTTCCATGTCTTAACTCTGGCACATGCCGAAAAAAGTTTTATTTACTTATTGTTATCAAAAAAGCGTTACCACACGGAGGGGGGTTGAGGGTGGGAATGGTGATGGAATGGGGTTGGGGTGGGAGATAGGGGTGAGAAATAGGGGTTGGAGATAGATTTGAGTGATAGGGGTGGGAGATAGGGGTGGATTATACTATCCACTGATATGATACTAGCTTGTTAATATATTCTAAATTTATTCGATACTTCAACTAGAAATGAAAATGCTCTTTTGTGGTTGCAGACTCGGCTGAAAAACTTTTTTATATATATTGCTTTTTTTTTTTTGTATGTGATAATTTTATATTTTATAATTTGTATGTTTTGTTTATAAAAATTATTTTTTTTACTAGTTATTTTTTTTTTTTAAGGGCATGTTATAGTAGGCAACACTGTTACAACACTGTCATTATACATATATTGTACAGGTGATTACACGGGTTAAGTGGTTAATACTAAATAAAATGTAGTGTTCTTAATAATCAAGTATATAGTTATAGTCCTTTACATCTAATGGAATCTCATAAAATTTCATAATACATACTCTTCATTTAAAAATAGATTGCTATCGAAACGACGACATTCGTCGGTCAAGAAGTGAGTGTGATCAATTTGCTCGTCACCGGCCGGATTTTCCGAAGATGATGGATTCTCGGTAGGACCAGAGTATGCTAAAATATAAAATTAATTTTACAAATGAATTTGTATTGTTTATTTACTAAAAGAATTAGCGTTCAGCGGTTTGATTTAACATTTATTTTTTAAATGGTAAATTTTGATATTTTTAATGAAATAATAATAATAATTTTACAGCACTAGTGCAGTAAAGTTTTACAACTGTAAAATAATTGAACAATTTTTTATTTATTTTTAAATATTGTTTTTTAGTTTTTCAAATGAAAAATAATAACAAAAACTTATTTGCGTGTTTGCAGTACGGTTTAATAATAACTGTGAAATCGTTTACCATTTTTTTAATTAATATAAAATTAAGGACAGAGACTACGAACTAACCTTCCGTTAAACTTGTTAAAAATATCAAATTAACCTCCACCAGAGCTTTTTAGCGCTTAACTTAGACATTATAACTAGTCAGCAAGGAGGTTTTGAGAAAGGATTAGTAAATTTTACTAGGCCATCTTTTATTGAAAAAATAGCAAATACCGTAGATAATTACCATAGTCGGGTTTAGAATATATCGCTAAAGATTATATGCTTCGATTATAAGAAGGCAATTATTTATGTAGATGCAATTGACACGATTAGCATAATAAATTAAATAAACACCATCGTATTATACGTGTTAAATTATCTATGAATACTATACGAAACGCTTAAAAAATAATATACCGTCCATAGGTATTGAAATCTAACGAGGAAATATTGTTTTGATAAAATAGCGCACAATATTTTAGCACACGTGATAGTGTTTTTCATAGCAAGAAATATGTACACAACTGGTGTGCGTTCTTGGTGCGAGGCCCTGGTGAATTTGATTGTGCAGTAGCAAAATGTATAGGCAAGGTTTATTATTGTATTTTCAATTCATGTAACCATATTGTAGTATATAAAACGGGACTATCTGTTTTTAGTCAAAAAAACGGGGGCCAAAAAAGGTGAACTATGATTTTTTTTTCTAGAAAAAAATTTATCGAGAAAAAAAAATTCTATCCGAAACTTCTTTGAATACAAGAAGTGTTTCCTGTTTAACAAATAGATTAATAAAACTGAAATGATAAAACTTAAATTAAGACATTACATGACAAAATACATCAGCTAGAATCTGCCACACAATCAAATAATTCCACCGTGGATTTTAATAGAGAAACCCAGGACTGTATGCGGAGAGCTCATAATGTTATTGTTTACAATATACCCGAGGAATCAACTGAAGACTCGATTTCTATTCTTAGAATTGCGAAGACTATTTGTAATGCTAAGCGCTTAGGTAGCAAACGAGTAGAAAAAGGTCGCCCATTACTCTTAGAACTCAATAGTAAAAATGATGTTTAAAATCCGTAAATGCCTAATATCAGGTATAATTACCACTCCAAACGATAACATTGAACAACTGTTTGTATCTGTTACCGGGAGTGGGAAACATAAGTATATTCTCGCAACTTGCTATATTCTGCCGGCTAGCTCGGTCAGTGTTTATTCTGCCCATGCCGAGTCCGTTGAATATATTTTATCGAACGCTAGTGCTTATAAGACTATTATTTTGGTAGCCGAGTACAATCTACCAGGTGTCAAATTTTATAATGATGGAGTTGGACTAATATATAGTTGTATAAGGACAAGTAGTTCTGACGTGATTTTTGACAGCTTTTCTTCCCAAAATATGTATCAACATAATTCAGTTCTTAATTTTAATGGTATATCCCTAGATCTACTGTTTTCAAACTCTAGTTCAGTTTTGATAAATCAAGCTCCAGATGTCTTAGTGCCTCTTAATCCTCATCATCCAGCACTTTCAATAGTCTGTAATAATAATACTCCAGTTCAACAGGTTTGGCAGCCCACTTGGTTCTATAATTTCAAATCAGGGGACTATATAGGTATGTCTTATTCACTAGCTATGGCAGATTGGTCGCCTTTATATTGTTGTGAAAATGTGAACGACGCCTTAGATATTTTTTATAGTTTGACTCTATAAAACATTGATATCTTTGTTCCTAAAGTATTTCCATATAAGTCACCTTATCCAAGTTGGTTCTCCAAGGAACTTCGAAGTTTAATACATTCATAAGTTAAGCGCACAGGCTCTCAAGTAATTTATAATGAATTCTCGGGAACTAGAGCTAAGTGTAAATCTTTATCTAAGCAATGCTAGTCTAATTATTTAAATGTTCAAAAAAGTCTTATCCATGATCATAAGTACTTTTGGAAGTTTTTCAAAAATAAAAGGAAAAACGACTGATTACTAAATAGTATGGAACTAAAAGGCAAATGGTCTGAAGATATAAATGATATAACTGAAATGTTTAGTGATTTTTTCTCCTCTAATTATGTCACTTCGGATAATCCAACTTTATTTAACTCCTATGAAGATTTTCATCTCAACATTTTGTCCTGTTATTCTTTTACCATTGCTGAGATATTTGATGCGTTAACAAAGCTTAACTTAATCACTAAATATGGACCAGATCTCGTTCCTGATATGGTTTATAATGCATGTTGCTATTCACTTTCTCGTCCAATACACTTCCTCTTCAACTTATCATTGTCCTTTGGGATCTTACCTAGTAGATGGAAGTCAAGTTTAATATAATAATGAATAACAATTTAATAATAATTTTTGCTGTTGCCAGAGGTAGTCGAGTTGATGCTGTGTTGTCACCTTTATTGTTTATAATATTTATGAATGACCTTCATATCAAATTAGCTTCAACTAGAGCATTCTACAGAGTGATTCTTTTATCATGGACCACTCAATATCTCATAAGGTTTAATAGGAAACTTTTTTTACTTATAGTTTTTATACAATATGATCTCAATTTTTCACAACGTTTTTTGTTTTAGTTGTAATTGTATACAAAATCTATCGCTGAGGATTAATTGTTTGACATACAAAGAGGAAATTTATATAAATTGTATGAGTTATATTACGTACCTGGAATTGACATTAAAATGATCAAAACTAAAAAATAACTAGACGACATTGTGCTATACTTGATAGTAAATAACTTTTTAAGTTCTCTATAAAACACCTTAAAACAAACCTTTGTTCAAAGTTATTGAAGACAGATTGAAATATAAATTTTTGTAAATAACGAACCATCTTTTTTCATACTCGATAGCGTATATAAACATATAATTGTACTCATAATCTGTGTAAATACAAAAACATTTTATTGTTGTAAGTATTGCCAAATAATACACAATGATTCGAAAATGACGTAAAACATATACACCACGCTCACGCTCCACTGTTGATACTGAATTAAGTACAAACGTACCGACATAACTTGGCAATAAATGTAGGACAGCAAGATTACAATTTGTCCTATTAATTTAAGTAATATATTAAATTATTATTAAATACCTGGAGTTCACCATAAAAATAATAAAATCTAAAAATTACATCATCCTAGTGTTGTTTTATTATTGAAATATGTTGGGCGCTCTATAACCTAATCTTGTCTTAATATTTTTATAACCAATTTGACTATTTAGTTTTATTATGTGAGCTTACAATCGTTTTCCATACTTGATAATGTTAATAAGCGATAAATTGTTTATTCAATAACAAATAATATCAAATATTCTCAATTTTATCTGGTATTTTTCACGACTTTAAGAACTCTACCGACTTTTGAAACAAACTCATCCGAATTATTTTAATAAAACATATTTATCATACATTTTGTATTATAAATATGCCAATAAATAAAGATGTGCTGTCTTTATAGTTTCAAAGGTTGATAATGTTTAGAGTACAATATTAAGCTGAAGTAATAGGATATACTGTAGTTTATAGTTATCGTTTTTTAAAAGTTTTGTGATATAATATTGTGGGTTCAATCGTGGTTATTGGTGACTTTATTTACAATTAATAACAGTAAATTTACTTGTGTATACTTATGCAATGTTAGTACTTTACTTGCGTAATAAATTGTTATTAAATAATGTATAAAACATAAATCGTTTTGGAGACCACAAAAAATTCTATGACCTGTTTTAGTTTTGAAAATGCGACCAATTTTTAATGTTCATACATAATATAATATTGATATGTAGAAGATTACTCTGTCGCACTTGAATCGTGGTAAAAAAGCGGTTTAGTAAAAACAAATAATAAATATAAACTTTAAGACTAGCGTCATTTTCATACATTTGTTTAATATTTACCATATGCGAACTAGATTATTCTTTTATGATATATCATATAAAGTATAGAAAAAGTTGGTGCAGTATTTAATAAAAAAACATACGCTCAATCGGCTCTCAATATCTTTTGACAAGAATTTTTTTAAAGTGCTTAAGAATCTGACAACATATTAGATTACGAAAATGTACAAGTCTCCTTTAGCTTTTATCGTCTTAACGTTTACTTCAGGTACATAATAAGTTTTGTATTTCATAATCATTTTTCATCTAGTAATTTAATTATTTTGCACATGATCATTGGAAGCGTCTGTTCGTTTCTGACATCTGGTACACCATGTTTGTAATTGGTCGAGTATTAAAACATTTACAGTGAATACAGATAAAAAAAAACCCACATCACAGTAAAGCCGCTCTGCATCGAAGCTATAACACTTTTCTGGGTTTTTATGTAAAATGCTTCAAAAGTGGTAAAATTATATGTTTTTGGGGTCGGTGATTACGAATTTATTATTAGTTTTCAATTTCACTCAGCCAAAAAAACAAAAATTAAATTTGTGCAAGTTAAAAGTCAAAAGTGGTATTTGAGCACAAAACTTAATAGTATCATTCTGCATAGATATACATAAAATTGTTTTAATTTGTAGATAAATTTTTTTTTTTAATTTTATTTGTTTTTTGGTAAAATATACGCTATCCGCGTGAACACAGTTTTCCGGCAATTAAAATAAAACCTGTAGTGCCGAATTTGTTTTACGTTTAATATGTTATGAATACATATGAGTTCTAACTACTGACAAATTTTCGGTTTAAGAGTCTTAAAATTACGGCTAAAAAACTAAAAAAACAAAAAAAAAATGAAACCCCCCCAGGGGGATGGGAAATGGGTTTAATTTAAATTTGATACAACTGACGTGCGCGGGCATACCAAATAAATATTTCTTATAAATTTCAACTCGATCCGACTATTTTTCTTGAAACTATAGCCAGTAAAAGTTCTAACTTAAGAACTCGTACGGTTTTTTTTTTGTTTTTTCAAATTTCATCTGTGAAGAAGTAATTTTTTTCAACTTTTACCGCCCCAAATACCAACTAGATGAAATTTGTGATTTAAAAAGTTGCTACTCGAAGGAATTGGTCCAGTATTAAAAAAGTTACAGTGTATACAGATAAAAAAAAAACACACATCAGAGTAAAACCTACACCTTCGCCTGCATCGAAGCTAAAATTCATCAAATCATTAAAACAATTTTATGTAGATCTTAGTGATTTTATCCGAGAAGACTAGTACAGTAGAGTATAGGCATAATGTAATCAAAGCAATGAGGAATCGGAGAGGTCACAGGTGTACAGGAATTATTATTAATTAAAGTGATAAAATTGAATAAAATCACTTTCAAATAAACGCTTTGATGGTCATTTGTAAATACAGTTAGTTTGGACTGTACTGGCTTGAAAATTCTAACTACCGATTCGTATCAAAGCGTTTTTTCGAAAGTGATTTTATCACTTTCAGATTTAAAAAGTCCTGTAAACCTGTGACCTCCCCGTTCCCACTATGCCCCCACCCAACTATGCTCCGTCCCCACTATCCCCCAACCCCACTGTACTGTTTTTTTTTTTTAAGATTTTAGGTGTTTTTGATAAAATATACGCAATCTGCGAAAACACAGTTTTCCGGCAATTAAAAAAAAAAAGTATTGCTGAATTTGTTTTCAGTTTAATATGTTATGAATACATATGAGTTCTAACTACTGACCAATTCTCATTTTATAGGTCCTAAAATTACGACTAAAAAAATAACAAAAATATGAAACCCCCCTAGAGGGGTGTGAAATGGGTCTCATTTAAATTTGATACAACTGACGTGTGCAAGCATACCAAATAAATATTTCTTATATGATTCAACTAGATCCGACTTTTTTCTCGAAATTATAGCCGGTAAAAGTTCTGACTTAAAAACTCGTACGGTTTTTTTGTTTTTTCAAATATCGACTGTACAGAAGTAAACTTTTTCCACTTTTACCCCCCCCCTCCCACCCCAAAGTACTAACTAGATGAAATTAATGATTTATAATGTTGCTACTTGAAGGAATTGGTTCATAAAAAAGTTACTAAAAATTATATATAGTCCTATGTCAACATTACATTAAATGCTTTTTATATTTATAATGCATTAAAAACTCAAAGAACCTACTGATAACGCAGTTAAATGGATAATATTTTATTTATATATATTTTTTTTTGTGCATAATTAACTAATAATAGTAATAATTCAATTGAATATATATATTTAATAAATAAGCAATAAAATTGATAGTAACCTATAACAATAATATGTAAAAGAACCCATTAGTTCACATTGAAGTTGGCCTTCGGGCGAATGGTGGTGCTATTTCCGATTTAATAGCCACGGTATCGACTTCCACGGTTTTTTGATGATGAAAGCTAGCGATACTTGAGCGGGTGCCTCCAAATATTTTAAATTAAAAGTCTACAAAAAAAAGTTTTTTAATAATGTCTAAAAAACATTCTTAGATCAATTATATTACTTTGTCAGGACATGAAGTGTGAACGCCAGTAACACGTATATACACTACCAGCCTTTGTTCAAATTGCAACAACTGCCACGATTGGCACGATTTATTAGATTTATCTATAATCAAGAACCAATCTTCATGATTGACTGAAACATGAACAGTGTAACCGTAGGTAAACTTTTGGTGGTCCCAAAGCAGCATCCTATAAATAATGACAATACTAATATAATCTTAATCTTATTGCCACAGTTGACCTAAAATTATTATTAAATATATTTCAGGCACAAAAAATATTATAACTAAAAAATAGAAACCAAAGTAAAAAGTAAATATTCTGTAAACGATTACCTCATTGAACTTAGCAAATACGGTTGTGCGAGTTGAACCTCTATGCACCCCAATTCCAGGTCGTGATATGTATATCCACGATCCAAAAGTAAATTTTTATAGTCATCGTACAAAATGGCGTTTTGAATCTTATCGGGCAATGTCTCTACTACTTTGATAGTCCAATGTGGATATCCATTGGTTACAGTGGCATCCATAGATGATGAAGCAACATTGTACTTTGGAGCTAATAGATTAAAATCAGTTAATTAAACAAATAAGTTCTTTTTATCTTATTTAAAGAATCAGTTAATTTAATGGAATCCATACCTAATAATCCGTTTTTGATTTCAACCAAGTGCATTTTATCCGTATTGTACATGACTTTTAAAATGTTAAAAGTACAAGTCTTATTACGAGAATTTTTGGTGCCAACAATACGGATGTATCTCACATATATTCGGTTAATCCACAAGCGTTGAATTGACCGACAATCGTAATTTGAATGATCAATCACACGAAACCAACTGTACTTAGCTATTGATACTTCAATATAATAGGAGTAAGTGCTGAAATATAAAAGAATTTAAATAAATGAATACCTGTGTAATTTTTTTATCTTTAAAGAAGTCAAAAATCAAATAATAAATTTAAATAATTGTTGTGCAAAATAGATAAAAAAAATTGTTATAAGTCGGTGCATTTACAATTTTTTTTATTCATGAATAAATTAAATTAACAACTATTAAAATAAATCGTGAAAAAAATAAATTTTAACTTTATTGGTATTCAAACAATATAATAATAAATCTTTGATTAGAATATTCTTAAATAAAGACACACCAAGAACATAATTCCATTTCGATATAGTTTATATTCACTGGATGATCCAGCACGATCATGGTACCGCCGTCAATTTGAGAAACCTCTATCAAATTTTCTTGAGCGAAATTCACATTTGGTTCTAAAGAATAACGTAGTTGTTACTAACAAAGTTTGTTTAACACATTATATTGCCATTGGACTTACCTAATCGTCCTCGATCATTTAATGTTTGTGTAAGGGACTTCTTTATGACATCTAAAATATTTCTATCCGAACGAACCAGCTTAGATCGCCTAACTTCAGACAGTTCTTTTTCATCCATAAGCTGATATCTGATGGCCGATAAAATGTTGGTTTTTTCGTTAGGACCTAGTTTGTCTTGGTTGTCTTTAATCCACTGACTAACCGCACGGAATATATCCAATTCTTTAACATACGCCATGTTACGATTGAGAATAAGAATTAATGCTTCCTAAAAATAATATTACTGTCACAATTATTTAGCTAACAAGAGCAATACTGATTTTTTACTATAAAATATAATTACGGCCGACAAAATGCGAGACTCTTTAGATTGCAAAACGTCCAAAGGTTGTGTGCCAATAAAATTGATTGATGCGTCTTCGAGTTCTTTGAGTTGATAGTAAGAAGCCACAGCAAAGAACGAACATACATTGTGTACATCGATGTTATTACACACGTACTCGGACAGTGAAAATTGTAAGTTTATAAAACGCCATAGATTCGAGAGAATTAATAACTCCAAAATGACGTTAATCTAATTCATAAAAAATACATAATATATATATATATATATATATTCGACAAATCCTTTTCTATAAAATATATTTATATTCTAAATATATACATTACAAGTTACCTCTAGAACACTTAAATTCATTTTACCGAAATAAATATATTTAAGAAGTTCTTTAATTGATGTTGGTGATCCTTCATTTATTGACACCTCCTTTGTATAAGTTTCTATATGTCCGTTACACAGTAATGCACTAAAAAAGTTATCTTATATTAGCATAAAAAAATGCGTTGGATGTGCAACAACCAGTAAGGCACATTGTATGGGCTACTCAATTTACTTTTAATTTGTTTGAGTATGTTAGATTATAATGAATAGCTAAATATAAGTCATACAATCAGTTTGCATAATTTCTAAATCACTTGTTTACTTGCTTTACAAAAATATATTAATGTTGTCATAAATTAAGAAAGAAATTCAAGATGCAGCCGAAGAGACGATAGGTAGAAAACATCGATTAAAGAAACCGTGGTTCAATAAAATCTGCGAAGAAGCCATACAGAGGAGAAAGATCGCAAGAGCAATATGGTCTTCCACTAAAATTAGTCAATCTCATAACGGCAAGCGTCATGAATACGGAAATAAAAGTACAGGTAGGAAACTCCTTATCAACAGCAGCCCAAGTCAGAACAGGATTAAGACAAGGCGGTACAATATGGGCAATTTTATTTATTTTAGCACTGGAAAAAGTGGTCCAAAGCACTAGCTTCGAACAAAGAGGTGTACAAATAGGTGAGACAAAGTTTGGTCTACTGGCGTACGTGGATAATTTAGTGCTATTGGCAGAAAATAAAGAAGAGCTCATTGAAACAAAACAAGAAATACTTGAGACAACAAAAAGAATTGGGTTAGAAATAAACGTGGAAAAAACAAAGTACATGATAGCTCAGAGGACGATTTTGCCGGAGGATAAACACACTCATCTTGAAGTAGGGGCTTATAAATTTAACAGAGTTCAGATGTTCAAGTAATTAGGTACACTTATAACTCAGAGTAGTGAAATACAAGAGGAGATAAAAACAAAAATACAGGCAGGCAATAGATGCTTTTTTGTATTGAACAAGCTGTATAAGTCAAGAATGTTGGCTAAGAGCCTTAAGGTACAACTGTACAGGATTCTTATTTGGCCAGTGGTGATGTATGGATGCGTAACTTGGACGCTTGGTAGACCAAGGTTGAGGTGGGAAGACCAGGTGTCAAAAAATGTGAAGCTGGTTGAACCGGATGCTGATTGGCAAGTCCTAGCACAAGATAGAGGGAAATGACATGGAATATGTTTGTCAGTTTGGTTTTAAAATCCGTCAACTACGATGAAAACAAAAAAATTATCATAAATATGTTTAAGTGGTAATAGTTCATAGTATCCATTTATATCAAGCAAGTAAACTAACAATTATAGATTACAAAACATTAAAAAATCTTAAGGCAATCGATGTTGCTGTTTTTTCAAAAACATCTAGGTTGGTTGATTAGGATATTAGTGAGCCTAACCTAACCGTAAAAATTAAAAAATATGCTTTTCTAAAAAATAGTAAAAAGGAAAAAAAAATGTACCATTAGAACAATTTACCAATCAATAAAAAAAGAGAATAATATGCTTAAAGATATTATTACCTGAAATAATCACTGCTCGAGGCTAACACAGCACGATGGGCGGGGAATCGTTCATTATCTAAAACTAAAACAACATCCGAAAACCTAAAATAAATATTAAAATATATTAGTAATATATTAGTAAGGATATAATGATATAAATTGAATGGCGTTAAGCAGAAAGCAACCAACCCAAAAAAATCGAGATTTTAGTTTACCTAGAGTAGTTTAATATAAACGCTACGTTTGTATGTCAAAATCAGATTCGTCTTGGTTATGAAGTAAGTTAATTAATCTATTAACAGTAATGTTATGGAGGGTTAGCTGGACACTGATAAATCTATCATTAATAATCAATTAGTGACGAAATTTATGTCTATACATACTAAAGTAATTCCTTCTATTGATAATTATAACTTGAATGTTGTTATAAGTTTTTAATTTTTCTATATTTTAACTTGACTGTACTACAATTTTAGCTCTACTAACATGTGATAATTAAAATAAACTTAGATAATTTAATTGTGTTAACGATACTGATAAAAATATTAAAAATAAGTTTAGTGATATTGTTGAAGCCCTAGGCAGCCTTCCTATATAATGTCATATACACGTTGGTCACACATATAATAGACGCTCCAAGAAAAACAATCTTCTTCTTTATATAATCAACTTTCTAAAGAACCAAACAATATATAAAAATCTATAATATTAAAGAAGTTAACGACACCAACGGAATAGGTTACTTCATTTGTCCTTGCAATCAAGAAGAATAATAGGTCTCGACCAAAAAAAATTGTATAAGCCATCAAAAATTCACATTATATTCTTCCTACTTTTAAAGTTATCAAAATTCAATTATCTAACGACAAATATTTTCCAACATTAGATGCCAACTCAGTTTCTTGGCAAGAAAATGGTATAGGAGAAATAGAAAACAAATTATTATTTACATTGAAATATAATGAAGATGAGAATAAAATGCAGTAAGAAAACTAATTATTTAAATTCTCCCATAGTTCTTAAACAGCATGAGGCAGTTAACAGATATGGTAGGAAATAGTAAAACTTAGAGATAGTGGTAATAGATTGGGGTGAGAAATATTATGTTGTATTCACACCGATCAAATTATAGCTGAAAAATTAATTCAATTGTAATTTAACGGGTTAATTTCCGATGAATTATTTTGGCCCAGATATTATGAAAACACTAAAATATTAGCCAGAAACTTGATATGTTTACTAGCCACCTTAGATACTAGCTTGTTAATATATTCTAAATTTATTCGATACTTCAACTAGAAATGAAAATGCTCTTTTGTGGTTGCAGACTCGGCTGAAAAACTTTTTTATATTTATTACTTTTTTTTTTTGTATGTGATAATTTTATATTTTATAATTAGTATGTTTTGTTTATAAAAATTATTTTTATTTACTAGCTAATTTTTTTTTTAAGGGCATGTTATAGTAGGCAACACTGTTACAACACTGTCATTATACATTTATTGTACAGGTGATTACACGGGTTAAGTGGTTAATACTAAATAAAATGTAGTGTTCTTAATAATCAAAAACAACCTGTCATTTACATCTAATGGAATCTTATAAAATTTCATAATACATACTCTTCATTTAAAAACAGATTGCGATCGAAACGACGACATTCGTCGGTCAAGAAGTGAGTGTGATCAATTTGCTCGTCACCGGCCGGATTTTCCGAAGACGATGGATTTTTGGTAGGACCAGAGTATGCTAAAATATAAAATTAATTTTACAAATGAATTTGTATTGTTTATTTACAGTATAAATTAGCGTCCAGCGGTTTGATTTAACATTTATTTTTGAAATGGTAAATTTTGACATTTTTAATGAGATAATAATAATAATTATATAGCACTAGTGCAGTAAAGTTTTATAATTGTAAAATAATTGAACAACTTTTCATTTATTTTTAAATATTGTTTTTTAGTTTTTCAAATGAAAAATAATAACAATAACTTAATTGCGTGTATGCAGTACGGTTTAATAATAAGTGTGAAATCATTTACCATTTTTTTAATTAATATAAAATTAAGGACAGAGACTACGAACTAACCTTCCGTTAAACTTGTTAAAATTATCAAATTAACCTCCACCAGAGCTTTTTAGCGCTTAACTTAGACATTATACCTAGTCAGCAAGGAGGTTTTGTGAAAGGATTAGTAAATCTTACTAGGCCATCTTTTATTGAAAAAATAGCAAATACCGTAGATAATTACCATAGTCGGGTTTAGAATATATCGCTAAAGATCATATGCTTCGATTATAAGAAGGCAATTATTTATGTAGATGCATAGATGCAATTGACACGATTAGCATAATAAAATAAATAAACACCATCGTATTATACGTGTTGAATTATCTATGAATATTATACGAAACGAGAAAATATTGTTTTAATAAAATAGCACACAATATTTTAGCACACGTGATAGTGTTTTTCATAGCAAGAAATATGTACACAACTGGTGTGCGTTCTTGGTGCGAGGCCCTGGTGAATTTGATTGTGCAGTAGCAAAATGTATAGGCAAAGTTTATTATTGTATTTTCAATTCATGTAACCATATTGTAGTGTATAAAACGGGACTATCTGTTTTCAGTAAAAAAAACGGGGGCCAAAAAAGGTGAACTATGATTTTTTTTTCTAGAAAAAAATTTATCGAGAAAAAAAAATTCTATCCGAAGCTTCTTTGAATACAAGAATTGTTTCCTGTTTAACAAATAGATTATTAAATTGTCTTATAAAAAAAATTACTTTTGTTAATGGTATATAACCCTGTTCCACCCCTGTAAATACGACACTAGTTTAAATTTATCATGGTTATTTATATGTATGTGTTTTCTTCTTCTCTATCGGTAATGCTACAGGCGCCTTTAAAACAATTTACCACTTGCTATTGAAAGAAGGTTTATTTATTCCCTTAAGATAAAGATAGTGCATCATGGATATGTTTTTGGTACTTGGAGGCATACTTTATGGTACGGGAAGACGA